GTAACCTCATCCAAAAAACAGATTAGAATAGCAGAAAAACAATCAAAATATCAATATGTTGACAGCTAATAGATGGAATATATATATATATATGTATGTATGTATCAAATTAGAAAAACAATATTTCAGCTATCACTCAACTGGAAAAATTGCAACATGATATTGGGTGAGATAAAAACATGTACAAACAAAACTGAACAAATTAAATATATAAACTTCATGCTCATCAAATTAAAAGGTACAAAACAAATTTGATATCTTTCCATACAATGGTTATCCCAAGCCTAATCGTAGTAGAATCAATATTCAATTCATTCTTATAATGACTAAGAATTTTCATCTTTAGTCCTAGCTCCAGTCATGGACAGGAGCAGTTACATTCCGGCTCCAGTCATGGAACAGAAGCAATTTCATTAACCTGGAGGCATTGTCATATTTAAGGGAAGAACATAAGCTTTTCCAGCTCCGCCCACTTGCTTAAATCTGTTTGGTACTTTCACTTTTTCAAACATCACCAAAGCAAACATTGCCGACTCTTCATGAAATAAAGAGAGAGCAACAGAAAGAAAGATACAACATTTTTATTTTCCAAGGTTCAATTATAATAACCAACGACAATCTTATTAGTTCCCTCAAGAAAATTTTAGGCCAGAAAACGTAAATGTAAGAGAGAATGTTCTTTCTTTTGGACTGAAAATAAAAATATTCCTACAAAAAGAAAGACCACAAAATTCATTTTTCCAACTATCATCAATAAATCTTCACTGCTAAACTAGGAAAAAACATTACACTTTTTAACCTTCAATAGTGGAACTGGGGGTTTATCTTCACCAGGTTGAGGATCCCACTCAAGTAGCACTTCCTTTTTCTCAACGGCTTCCCAAATATGCTGATACATGTTCATTGCAGTCCTTGAATGAAAATCTCCACCAGCTTTGAAGGCATCCAACATGCTCTTACAGTTGGAAAGATGAGCAAGAATCCTGAGTTCCAGCTGTCATAAGAACACATTAATTAAAAAAATTTAAATATGTATTCAGCAGATAATATAAACCACTAACCTGTCCATAGTCAGCAACAATAAGAGAATTTCCAGGTGCAGCTACAAACGCCTGACGGATCTTATACCGGTCTTTCTCCAAAGCAGGTTGATTCTGAATCAGGAAGTAAAGAAGAAAAATGAAGATTCATACCTTCCAAGTTTCCAGTATAGTTGGAGATGTTAGTTCAGAAGCAAGATATTTGATTGAAAATCAAAGTGCTTTTAATGATCAGAGAAGCTGACTATCCAGATATCACCATTATCCATAAGGGAATGGTTAATGTCTTGGATAAACAATTGATTATAACTTCATTAAATAGATGATTGTAAAATAGTTGAAAGGATTATTAATTAAACCTGCAAATTAGGCCTCCTAGCAGATAAACGCCCCGTTTCCGTGTTGATATTTAGGGAACAATGAATCCGCCTGTTCTTGCCCGATATATTACTGCTCTGTAGTAGAAAGAAACCAATATCATTGTAAAGTGTCGCATAAATTTGCAGTAAAAAACTGGAGAAAAAGGAGTTAGCTTGGGATATTAGTAAGCATAAACAGTGTGATATAACAGCAGAAATCACCTGCAAAGGGAGGATGAAGTTGGATATCAACGAATCGATAGAGCAAACTTGACACAAAGCAGCAATAGCGTGGCAAGCTTCCTTTCCCTTCTCCTTTGGTTTAAATGCTTCAAAAGCCGTCCCATAAGCAGATGTGTCAACATATTCAGACATATTTTCTTGTTTTACCAAGTATTCATCACTCACTGTTTCACAAGCATCTCCAACATCATCTATGTCATCATCCATAAAATGAAATTCTGAAGAGACCTTCCCAGATAAAATCTTCAAAGCATCTCCTCCGACTGAGGGCCAACCACTTGCTGTGTAAATCTCAGCCGGAAGATTGACACCAATACCATGCAGAGTGACATTGCGATATTTTGGGGTTGTATCCTTTCCATCTTCAATCACTTTATCAATGTTTGGAACTCTAAAAGTCCTCTCAGTTGGAACAGCCTGATCGGAGTCCTTGCTGTAACAGGATACAATCAAGTCAAATTTATACAACTTCCCTTGCCTTTTCATAAGGCTAGGGGGATGGTATCATGAAATAAGATTTTTATTTGGTACTGTCCCTGCATTTGAATAGTGTAAACGGTAAACTTACTCTGCAAATGCAGGACACTTAATGTTCCAAATGACCCATAGACACTAGAGTAATTGAATTTTTGTTTGGGTACCATAAAAATAGTTCATATGGATATTGCTGTTTTTATTAGACATCTCAGTGCAGTTGGAGATCATTTTCTATCACAAGAAGTGGTCCCTCCAATAAAATCTAGATTTTGTACCCTAAGTTTTAGATTTGACTTATGGTTCTAATCCAGGATACTGGGGCTGTTTCCTCTCACATGAACCAAAACTCTTACAAAGTTTTGCAACAATTCTGCTTCCTGTGCATGTAGTCATGCTAACCAAACTCTCAAGAATAGCAAAGCATATTGTTGAACAGCGCTTGCATAAAATTGTACTCTTAACCTTATCATATATCTTTTTTATTAAGAAAAAGGAAAAAACAAAAAGATACAGCTCATGAGAGTTAAACATATCTTCGACCATATATCACGGGATACATATAAAAGGTAAAACTTTCAAATTCCAAGACAAATAGCAATAGACTGAGCTCCTTATGTCAACAGAGCAAGAGAACTAAAGTTGCTAAAAAGAACAAGAAATCAAGAAGATAATCAGAATGCTTTGTACTGTTTTCTGTATTTAGAAGCAAGTAAATTTAGTTTTTTGACTTCTGTTCCACAGTCACCAACTAAAGCTCATATAACCAAGATAGCAACAAAGCTCCTTATGTCAACAGAGCCAGAGAACTAAAATTGCTAAAAAGAATAGGAAAATTTTGAGAACAAGAAATCAAGAAGATGTAATCAGAATGTTTTGTGCTGTTTTCTGTATTTAGAAGCAAGTAAATTTAGTTTTTTTTACTTCTGTTCCACAGTCACCAACTACAGCTGATAGATAAAACCAAGACCTCAAAATAGAATGTGTTCCAGTATCTTTCACCTAGTAAAATAAAGTCTGGAAAACAGTTGCCTACAACATGAAAATTCTCATGCTGACAAAAAAAATTAAAGGTGTTAGTTGAAATATGTACCTGTTCATGGTCCCACCAAACAAGAGCTGGCGTAGTTGCACATCACTTCCCACATTCATGTACTTGGCATCAGGGCAGTAACTAGAAGCCCACCTGCGAAACCTGTTCGCAGCAACCACTTGTTCGGCTTTGGCCTGCTTCTCAATCTCAGCTAAATGTTCTCGATCAACCAACATTCCCTCAGTTTCCATCTGAACTAAAAGCTCACCAAACGGTCGCCAGTATTTTTCATAGAAATCAAACATGGATTTTCCAGAAATGGGGTTTCCATCGATTTCCCACAGCTTTTTGCCTAGTTGGTTTTTCATGCTCTCATACAGATTTAGTGTGCTTATTGCATCTAAGGCAGAATAGCAAATCCATAGTTTTCTCTCTTCTCTTTGTAGCACTTCAACAGGATCAATAATGGTCAATTTCCCTTCTTTTCCATCTGTTTTCACTTTCTTCCTGCCAAATATTGTTTTCATTGATATTTTACCAACCAAATCCTTCAAATGACACTGTTTTGCCCCAGACATGACCTTAGGGTCACGTGTAAGTGCTTCAAGAGAATAGCCTCCCTTTATCCGCCTTGATGAATCCCACAAGCGCGCCATGTGCATTGTGTCGGCGTGAAAACCAGAAAGCTTAAGCCCATAGTTCTCTATTACATGGTTATCAAAGCTGTAATTGTGCCAAACCTACAAAATGATATCAAGTTTGTTCCTCAATCAAGCATGCACCTTGTATGCTAGTCAAACACCTACCCAGTGATTTTCCGGGCCAAAAAAGAAAGCACATACCAAGTGAAACAGTCAACAGCAGTCAACAAAATAAAGGCCAACTGGACCAGTCTTATTAAGAGAAAAGGAAAATAGAGAAGAAGAAAGAAAAGAAAGATTAATACTATTTTCTAACTCATATAGTATTGTGCAATATTCGACAGACTCAAGGCCTTGATCCTTGGTTAGTCAGAAACAGAAGCTGTCCTGAAAGCAAAAATTAAAAAGGACGCAAAACGGTATTTCAATCAACTGCCCTGCAGTAATGGGAAAAATGTATAAAGAGAAAGGAAAAGAAAGGCTCATGAAAATAGAAAGACAGTTATCAATAATTTAATTGTGCAAAAGGACAATTGTAAATATCTGATTAATATGAACCAAATTTGTCATAAGAGTTGCAATGTCATTATCGTAAATCAAAAGAAAGTAGTCATTTCTGAAAACTGTCACTGCCCAATGATGATTATGTTGTTTTGAAGGTACTGTGAGTCAAGAGGACCTTATAAGAAAGAAAAACAACCTTTTTGATGGAGCGATCTTCAAAAAAAGGAGCAAATTCAATTAAAAGTTCCTTGCCGCCGCCATCAAGAACATCCACCCAAATACAAGACTTCCCATTTCCAAAATCCACACCTGGTCCAGAATAAATACTGAAACATATTATTTCTCCATGATCAACAGGTGTTTCTCGCTTCACTTCTATCTTAGCCACCTGTTAAAATGCTATTATTAGCAACTAGACAGTAGCCAGTAAATAAGAAATCTCGAGCACCCGAAAACAAGCCACACATTTATTTATAAAAAGGCAACAAGAAAGTTCAAAAAAAATGTGCAGGTATATTACACACAGAACTATATCAATCAAAGTTAAGATAAACTTGAAGTATGGATACCTCTGTGTCACAGGCATGGACAAGATTCCTGTATTGATCTGTAAGCATCTTCACAACTTTCTTTGCAACAGAGACACTATTGACAACAAGAACCTTGTCATATATGGTATTAAGCCTAATACGAAGATCTTGCTTGCAATCATTATCTGCTTTTGTAGCAGCTTTAATTGCAGAAGCTTTTGCATGAGACTTGTCCCCTTTAATCACAGCTGCAGCTTCATCTTTATTTCGTCCAGAATCAGTCCCCTTCCTTACCTTTGAGGTCTTCCCTAATTGTGACCCATTAACCACACCCAATTGTCTTGGACCCTCACGTGCATGACCATTGACCTTCTCCAGATTAATATTTTCAATCCTACTGGAAGTTGACACAACCAGACCATCATGTGCATAACCATTTACCTTGTCCACATGATTTCCTTCACCATTTACCTTGTCCACATGATTTCCTTCACTATTTACCTTGTCCACATGATTTCCTTCACCAGGTGTTTTATCCAATTGTCCATAATCAATTATTTTGCAATATGAGCCTTCTGAATTTTCTTCCAACTTATCACACGTACTGACATGTGTGAAACCCTCAAGCCTTTCTTGGCTATTCGTTTTAATACCTCCTGCACGGGAGACGTTCCTTCCAAAATAATTTTCCATTACCTTTTTTTCTTCTCTCATTGCAAAAACCTTGTTGTTCCAGGCACTTTTAGTGCCATTAGATTCTCTTTCAGTATGATAGTGAACTGGATTCAAAGAGATCATCGTATTATTTGAAAAAGTATCATGAGCAGCTTTGGCTGCACAGACCTCTGGCCTGCAATTTTCATCAATTCCAACATCAAAGGCAGCCAAAAAAAAAATCAATCAATCAAACAGTATATCGATTTCTCCTTGCACTCTAAGTATGCAAAGGAAGCACAAAACATAATGGAGAACTTGAAACGCAACCTGGCATTCCCATAATTGTGAATTTGTACTAGAAATTTACATACATTAGCAACTAACATTGAAATCCCAAAGCCAACACCTACCCACAAAAAATTGCACATTTGAGTTTCCCCACTTCCTCTTCCTACTCACATTCCTCCACCAATTGAAAATAAATATACACCTAATATTGCATAAGCAGTTCCCTAGAAGTCCTTACCAATACAGTCAGATTAAAATGAAATTAATACAACTTTCCAATAATTCAACCAAGTAATTGAAGTATCCCTACGAAATCCAGCAAAGTCTACATGACTCGAGCCAACAAAAGAAGATAGCTGGATGACCAATACAACCCAAAACAAAACATTCGAGTAACTCCACAACCATTTATGTTTGACCCAATACCCCAAAAACTCAAAACCTTTCATCATATTAAATTGCAAATGACTAAAATAAAATTATAAACAAAACACAAGAAATAAGCAAATGGGTATGATGGAATATTAAAAAAAAGGCACACAGAAAAAATTAGAGAGAACAAAAAAAGAGAGTGGAAACAGTGCAGTCTGAGTAAGATTGAAGTGAACCTGGTACGAGTCCATAGAGACCTGGACGAAGAAGAGCGGGGGCAGGAACGGAATACAGAGAAATAAGAAGGGCAAGAAGGTCTTAAATGGCTGGTTTGGATTGAGGAGAACCCCATAGCCATGAGGTTTGAAAGAGCAACTTTGGCCAGCTTACTACTCCAACTCCAACAGGGGGTTATAGAAGCAGCCGTCTTGGAAAGCTTTGGTGGCAAATCTGTAGATAAAGTGGGTATTCGTGGGAGGTTATTTGGGGTCTGGGACTAGTGGGTCTGAGTTTGAAGCAGAAGAGCAGAGCAAGGCCATGACGAGAGAGATAGAGAGAGAGGAGAGAGATGAAGAAGGCAAAGACTGCAGAGGCTAAACCCTGGGGTTTTCTGTCTCAGAAAAATATGGGGAAGAACCCAAATATCATATGGCTGGCAAATATTTGTCTCTGCAAATTGTTAATACTAAAATCTAAAAATAAAATGGTCATTTACCATTTAAGGGTTAAAACTTTCGGATATTACAGATATGCCTTTTTTGTGGTCCTTTGGACATGTGATGCATTGGTTTGCTTTTATTTATTTATTTATTTTAATTTAACCAATAGACAAACTAATATGTAAATATTAAACTGATTAATTCGATGGTCTTGTCTTTAGCAGGATGATGATCAAGGATCTTACATTCTCACGGTTAGAGTTCGATTCTCGTCCTTCTTTTACCAAATTAAAGAAGAAAAAAAATATCCGGCTCGCTCACATAATATTTTATAATTATAAACTTAAATAATAATTTTATAGATTGTGAAGATGTCTAAGAGATGATGAAGAGGGGAAAAAGAAGAATTGTAGTTTTGTAATGCATATGCATGGAATTAGGGTTTATGACCAGATGTCCTTATCTATCATCCTTACCGTAGTTAATAATCCTTGGCTTAACTTGCCCAAATGCAAGGAGAGGGGTTAGCTTTTTCTTGATGAAGGGTTTAGGTTTGTTGACAACGGCTGTTATTGAATTGGTTTCTGCAATTATTTCATTATAATTTACAAGTGCTTGGGGCCACTAAGGCTAATTGCTAATTTGTCGCACTGAACTACAATATTATTGGTCATACTTACTTTAATCAATCAATAATTACTTCATATTTTATTGATTTTGCTAAATTATACTTCCACCATTAAAGTTTATGAATTATCTTATCAAGCTTAATTTTAAAATTCGGTCTCACTCATTCGTATCCAAAAACTAGGTCATTCAAACAATGTCATTCTCGATAGAATGGCAAGAGTTGTGATTAGAACTCAAAAGACACCTCAATGTGTCTTTTTGTAAGATTTTCTTCTTCTTTTTTCAAGATTTTTATGTTTTTTTGCAAGTTTAAGAGTGGCACCATTCCTCCCATTTTAAAATTTGTGTGAAGATATAATGGGTAAAAAAGGTGGATTACTCATTGACTAGTTCTCCAGGATTTAGAATACCACATCCCACTCAAAAGTTCAATTTCTCCAAAATCAGGATTTGAATTCCTGATTTTGTGTGAGCCCCGTGTGGTCCTTACTGATTAGTTACCATTGCATCAAAAGCTTTTTTCTTCTTCTTTTTTCTTTCAGTCGAAGCCAATGCATTAAAAACTTGCAAGATAGACTACGAGGGGTGTATTCAATCCATATTTATAAAGACTTTTATAAAATTTAAAAGTCTAGAGGTATCCAATTGTCACTTTTAAATTTAAAAAGTATTTAAAAGTGTTTTGTTTTTATTTTTTAGAATAAGTATTTAAAAGTTCAGTTGTGATTTTTAAAAATTTGTCAACTCTATGAAAGTTACTCACTTAAAAAAAGTCTTCAAAAGTTTCAGTTGGATACACACATATGAATTCATTAGTAAATAGTGAGTACATAGATATGAATTCATAATAAAAGAACTGACCATCAGAGCCTAAACTCACTCTTTTTGACTTGTATGATGAAAGTTACTCAAGGTTACATATTGCTCCCCTTATTTTTTGTATTAGTTAGAACTTTTAAACTCACTCTTTTTTACTTGTATGATGAAAACTTTGGCGACATAAAAAAAGTTAGGGTCTTTGGGGTAAAGAACATATGGAGGAAGAGAGGGGTGAGATAATAATAACCTTGAAGGTGAGAACAATGTTTATTATGTTTGAATTAACGCATTTAAAGGGTATAGTAGATTTTATATGTAGATGGAAAGAGACTACTTTTTATAAGTTTAATGGGGGTAGGGAAATAAGGTGGGCGGAGAAAAAGAACAAGTATGTGGAAATAACAACATTCAAAGTTTAATTCTCCTCATGAACAAATAAGAAAATTGTTATTTAAAATAATTCTATAGTTTTATGCACACACAAAACCGATATGCATCTCCGTAGCTACCAAACGCAACTGTCGGTTTGTACAAATCGAATCCACATGTGATAAAAACTAAATAGATTATAACCAGTTTGGTTTGATTTTGCATAAAAATATTCATAACTAACTACCACATTAAACATAACCAATCTAAGAATGGTTCGGTTTGGGCTCATTTCCATATGAATTTTTTCTTTTGTTGCATCGTGGGAAGTTTTGGGTGAGAAATAGAATCAAAAGGGAAACAAGATAGGGTCACACACCTATGTTTAAAATGCCCACCCTACCCTGCCCCAACTGTGCTTTGGCGGGCAACGTATCATTCAAATTTGTAAAGTGAGCAAGCGGCAAAGAACAATCCTGTTGTTTTTGCCACCTATGTTGCACGTGCATACAGCATGTAATGTACCATACTCCCTTGACCCTAAATATTTATAATTAAAAATTTCCAAAAAACAAAAATAATATGTCTTTTTGGTGGAGACAGAGCCTGTGCTGCATCTCCAATAGTTGGATCGACAATACTTGACAAACCTTTTTTCTTTTAGACTGGAAACACCAAAATATTAAGAATACTATATATTTTACATGTGCACTAGTAATTTAACACATGCTATGTATGTGAGGCGGTTATTATATTGGAAAAGTCGAGAAGAATTCGAAAAAGGATATAATTGGTCATTACTATTTTGCGCTTATTATATTAAAGACACTGCTTCCCTCCTTACATGGAAAGAGATATTTTCTACTTCCTGCAAATTAAAGTTTGACACATACAAAAGTAATTCATCAAAAACACACAAAAAAGAATCTCAGCACACATTCAAATTGTGATTAACAGGAAAGTAGGACTTTCTACTTTTAGAGAAGGAGGCAAGTATTTTCCTTATATTAACTTCCGTTTATTTAGTGTAACATAAGTCATGGCATAATTGACACTTAGTAAAAAATGGTTGACATTGTTATTTTTCGAAATATAGTAATTTATCTTTTGAGTTTTTTTAGGTTGAAGATCCTAATACATATATCTAGTTGATAGAGCATCATTGAAGTATATACATAGCTACATTTTTGGCATTTGATACAACAAATTAATAGCAGACAATTTGGAAATACTCTTTCTGGCCCTTGTAATCGTCTACCTGCAAGGATGAGTTTGTTCTTCTCTTCTCTTCTCTTCTATAGGCCATTTGGGCCTGCTTGGTTAAAGTGTCTCACCCTTAACCAATTCTTTTGTGATAGCTCATTGTCATCAACAAAATCACCAAAACTTCACCATGCTACAACCAAATGTGGACAAAAGAAGTGATTTTTTTTTTTGAAACAACGGCAATGGCATGGGGTTTGTTTTTACAGAGCAGCCTAGCTAGCTACAAGATGATCAAACTCTTTTTTTTTTTTTTTTTTTTTTTTTTTTTTTGGTGTTGACAACATGATCATATAGAGTTCATGAAACATTTAACTCATAGGCTCCTTGTACTCTCTAGTCGTGTACCCTCCTTACCCTCAAATGCACCATCATAAGTACTCTCAACATATTCATCACCATTATTCTCATCAGATTCAATGCAGTCTACGGTTAAATACTCTAACGCGGTTACAACGTCACTGATCAGAGGTCTTGTAGTAGCTTCCTCTTGCAGACACATTGCTGCAACAGCAAGAGCTTGGTAAAGACCCTTTATAGGGTACTTGTCTTCTAGCAATGGATCAGCCATTAATGTAAACTTCCTTCTGTCTTTAAATAATGGTTGTGCCTGCAAAAGACGATGAGTATATATCATTACTTTTTAAGTCTTCAATTCTTTATTGCAGGAAAATGAAACTTACTGTGCACCTTTGTGGGATTGAAGGGTTGATAGTCTAACAAAAAATATTGCAGAACTTTGGAAGATTACAAGATTCTGAACATACCCAAGTAACTAAGTTCTGCTCCTCCGTTGGTCTGTTGTTGTCTATAACTCTTCTTCCTGTGACTATCTCCAAAAACACAACTCCAAAGCTGTAAATGTCGGATTTTGTTGTCAACTGCCCTGTCAGTGCATATTCAGGTGCACAGTAGCCATAAGTTCCCATCACCCTGGTGGATACATGAGTCTTATCCCCAGTTGGGCCTAACTTTGCCAGACCAAAATCAGAGAGCTTTGGACTGAAGTTCTCATCCAATAAAATGTTGGAAGCTTTGAAATCGCGGTATATCACAGGGGGGTTGGCTTGTTCATGTAAGTATTCAAGTCCTTTTGCTGCCCCTGCTGCAATTTTCATCCTAGTATCCCAATCCAAGGCCTTTTTCCCGGGACCTAAATCTGAGGAGCGAAGTTTTGATCGTGAACAGAACACAATTATTAAGAAATCTTGCTAATATATACTTACAGAGGCAGTTCTCAGAATGATCTTTGGTTGGAAAAAAATAAAATTAGTTTTACACTAACTGAAGTGCAAAACCAAATTAGGAACTAAATTTAAACTTGTCACTCAAATAAGCGCTCAGAAAGGAAAAATCTCTAACAGATTGAGAATAGAGTAGTCATTTTCTAATGCAGATGCAAATGCAATGAATTAAATTGGTGCATACCAAGAAGATGGTCCTCTAGGGACCCATTCGCCATGTACTCATACACCAAAATCCTCTGATCACCATCGGCGCAATATCCGACCAAATTGACAAGGTGGGGATGGTGAAGAAGACTCAATATCAAAACTTCTACAAGAAATTCTCTATTTCCTTGGAACCCATTCCTGTCTAGTTGCTTAACAGCAACAACCTGAACAAGTGAACAAGATGGATTATGCTCCAACTTAATCAGTGTATAATATGGAGAGATCAAATTAAGAGATGGATGGAAATGATACTCGGTCGGTGTCTTCAAGTTTCCCTTTGTAAACTCTCCCAAAACCGCCTTCGCCTAGCAAATTGTCTGGATGGAAGTTGTTAGTTGCAACGCTCAGTTCCCGGAAAGTAAAAATCTGAGCAGAAATATTTCCTTTGCCAACCTTTGCTATCTCTTCAGCTATGTACTTCCTCCTGCTGCTATCTGCATGTTAAATTCTGAAACTTAGAGGCCAACAGTTTGAACTAGCTGTTTCGTATGGGCTAGCTGCTTGTTACTAGTATACTAATCAGGATTTTCAGCCAACTTACTTTCAGAAGATGTGACAATTTGTGATCACAATTTAGAACATTTTCAGTAAAATCATCATCAAATTTAATAAAAGGGATCATTTTACCATAAATGGTAATACGTGTGATGATACTTATATGACAAGGTGACAAGGAGTACTGAAGGATGATTTTGTATGCTTTATCCAATCTTAGTCTTCAAAGGGAAAATTCTCCATCAAACCTAAGGCAAATAATTTTACGATTTTGTCGTAAAAATCTTCCAAATTACCTATTTAAGATTTTTAAAAAATATTTTTTATTAGCTAATAAAACTATATCCCTTAATTGTGTACAAATAATTAACAGACCAAAGTGTTAAAAGACAACATAAATCACTTACAGATGAATTCATCTGCACACAATCCCCTGCAACACATCGCATATGCTCGCCAAGGAGAGCATCCTATAATATATCCAATTTAATGGTTGAATAATAGTTCCTCATCTAAGGTCCTTACGCTAATAGAGAATAATCATACACATATATTTATGTTTATGTTTTTGTTTGTTTGTCATTTATTATAATGGAGCCACTTTTTTTTTGGAAGATTTACGTCGAGAATGTTAAAAAAGAACTTACCAGTTTTGAAGGAGATGTTAGCAAATGAGGCTAAAGTTTTGGTGTCATGGTATTCCCTGATGCTCTTCTTTAATGACTTCCTGGCGATTTTCTCTTCTGACATGCAACATTGGAAGCAACTCATCATTTTCCTTCCCTCTGGCTACAACTTCAATCCGATCACAGCCACCTTCAAATTGTCATCCAAATCTTGCATGGAATCGAACATGAAATTACAAAAGTGTTTGATATGCTTCAACTCAGGAAAGAACAAGCACAGACGTGTCGAGAAATTGCTTGGAAAAAAGGGAGATATCAATCTGCTTAGCTTATCAAACACCCTTGGCTCTGGAAAAACCAGAATGCTAGTTTCTGGTCCTTCAAGAACAAGAGCTTGATCCCTCACATTGTTTCTTTTGCTTCCTCCCTCTATCCAAACCATTGAGTTCGGACAGCGAAAACAGACTTAGTCAATTTTGCTAAATAAAGAGGGGCAGACAGCTATTTGTTTTTGTTTGACAATCATAAAATGGTTTTGTTATTTTCTCTTTCTTTTTCCAATATTTCCCCATCTATTTGCGTTAATGCCAGGGCAGGCCAGAAAATACAACCTGCTATTATTTCCATCATCAAAAAGTTAACCTTCCTTTAACTGGCAAAAACCCGTCCATGCATTTCCAACCAGCTCCACATATATATCTTTCCAGAATTTTGCTGGCACTGTAAATTAATTGCTTTGACAGCAATGTTTTAACATTTAGACCATGGGATTTTCTGAGCAATCTGCTATGTTTAATTCTATGAAAATTATTAATAATTTACTCAAAACTTGAGATTACTATAGTAATTTCAAATAACCTCTCTCTCTCTCTCTCTCTCTCTCTCTCGGTTGTAAACTTCCATTTTGTCCATCTGCAGCCAAAAAAGAAGCTTACATTTGCACAGTTGCACAATTCAGGTCGGCAGAAACATAAACACCTAGATTTTCCTATTGATTGTAACAGATTTAACTACTGATGCGGATCAGGAATTGTTTATAAATGGTTTAACAAAAGACCATTACAGCAAATCACGGCTCTAAGTACATCCAAAGACCGTGAACCAACTAAGAATGCAAAATGCATACATTAACAGATACCAAACCACCAAAAAGTCCATACGTGCATGATACTTGTGCCCTGGGGATTTTGTTTCCGTTCAAGTTTTCACCCCCAAAATTTTCTCAATATTCTGAACCCTCATTAGTAATCCAACTCCCTGAGTTTGATCTGTAGCATTCACCATACAGTCATCAACCGCTACCGGGTTCTTGAGAAACCCTTTAGGCATTCTTTTAGGATCATCAGCCCCCATACGGTTTTTTAGAGATCCTTTAGCCATTGCTTTCTTCCCTTCTCTTGCAGCATCTTTTCCTGATGCTTTAGGTTCAATTTTATGCTTGTGCTCCATCCTGAAAGGTACACCAACTTCTACACTTGCCTTATTATCACTACCCTTCCTCCCTTTCTGAACAATCTTCACCACATTTTTAGCAAAATCACCAGCATTTATTTTCTTAGCAAGCCCTTCAGTTGTTGTGGCCAACTTCCGTTTCTTCACATTCTTGTCCTGAACAGGTGAGGTTGAGGAAACAAATTTTGTTGGTCGGCTGGTTGTGGAAGCCTTATGCAAACAAGCTGGTTTGTTTCCAAGATGTCCCAAACGTTCTGAAAGTGGAATGTGATCATCATCCCTATAATCAAGGGGTGACTCTTTCTTAACCTGCTTAGGAAATTGAGGAGTAGCTGAGGCCTTTCTCTGTACAGTATGATTGGATTTTCCGGGGACCTCAGGAATCACATAGGAGCGGCTCTCTTCAGGTTTAGACCTCTCCAAAGTTCGTGGTGATGCCTTATGCATCAGAACATTCCTCTCCGCGATGGAGGCATTATACTTTTCAATCTTCTGTATTGCCACTTTGACATGTTTCTCGATTGTATCTGCGCGAGCAGACTTAGATATTTTCCACCAATGCAAGTACCTAGCCGATACACTCGGCTCAAAGGACCTTGGAGGGACAAAGAAACCAACATCAGTACCTGGGGCAAAATACAGTTTTGAAAATTCACCAGGAAGGTCTTGATCCATTCCAAATTGCATTGCCACGCGGTTTGGAAAATACTTCTCTTTACAATGCTCTACTCCAACCAACTCAGAAGTGCACAAGCATCTAATATAAGATCGTAAATTCTCATCTGAGTGCTTAGCACTATGAAAAAATGACGGTTTGTTCTTCGTATAGTACGACGAATGGCTCCAATTGATTAAATCAGCAGCATAAGGACGCCATTGAAAATTCTCTTGCAACTTAAGAACAGTTCTTACAAGAGGAAGACTAATTGCTCCAGAAGGTAATCTGTGCCACCGGGCAGCCCAAGTCTCCCCAGGTTTCAGAGCATTTGGGGAATTCTTTAATAGAGGTTGAAACCTCTCCAAAGCCCATAACTGCAAAAGCTGAAATGGACCAGGAACAGAAATCTCCTCCCTACAAGAAAGTGCTTGTTTCTTCAACAAGCTTAGGTCTTTGTAAAGACCTGAAAGGACAGCAGGGGCAAGAGCAAGCCTCGTCCCCTGTGACAACTGTGCTGCAATGGGAAAAACATGCCTCCCTATGCAAGCTTCAGGAAGAGAAGGAAAAACAAACCTTGACAACCACAATGACAGAAATGCTACATGCTCATATTTGTACTCATTTTGCAGCTCCATGAAATGCTTGATCCAAACAAATTGGCAGGCTTTTTTCGCCTTGGTCCTCGAAATCTCTACTCTCTTCTTCTCCATCTCCTCCACAATTTCCACCAACAACCCATTAACAGGCCTTGTCACAGGCCTCCCAAGGACTGAAAATCCACCAAGAACCATCATATCTTCAAGGGTAAAAGTTGCTTCCCCCCAAGGGAAAACAAAGGTGTTGGTCTCTGAAGACCAAAACTCCACTAACCCATGTAGGATATTCTTGTTGGTACACCTAATCTCATATCTAGAACTCAAAATAGCATCACAAATCCCTGCCTGGTTCCAAATAGAACAGTACTTACCTGCAAGCCTGTTAACCCATTCATCCCATTTTGCTGGGGCATCTTCCAGCCTTTGAAGAGAACCCTAGAGGACCATTGCTGAAGATACACAACAATGGGGTGCTTGGAGGTGCCACTGCTTTGTTGAAATGCAGGGCACACGGCTTGAGGAACCTTGCAACTCTCCTTGTTCGTTTCTCATCTTTTGGACACACCATATTCTCCTCTCTCTCTTCATATATGCAGTGTGACACTTCTGCTCCCTCTGCCATTTCAAGGCTGAAAAAGATGAAGAAGAAGAAGAAGACGAAAAGAGCAGCGTATAACTCCTTTTAAGCAGAGATGATATAAAAATTTAAATAAAAATGAAATAAAAAGTTTTAGCCAATCATGTCTGATGCAGGAGCATCCCAAGCCAAACTAGGGAAGCCCAAGAGATCAGTTAAACCTCCTAATTACCTTAAAGATTATATCCCAAAATAAATTAAGAGACCTTTCCTACTGCTGATTGACTTCCTTTTATGTTTTCCTTCTGTTTTGGGTTTCTTTATTGTACTAGAATTATAATTCCTTATATTCCTAGGATTTAGTTGTTATTTAAACCTTTCTCTTGTAGACCATTTGGGCAGATTGGATTAGTGAATTTATTGAGAAAACGCAGCTAAGTTTAGCCGCAAATTGTGAGTGCTCGTTCTATATTTCTAGTGTTGGTGTAGTTTCGTTGGAGGTTCGTGTTTGAGATACCATCTCCCCATCAATTTGGTATCAGCGCTTTGGTTCTTGTGGGTGGAGAGAAACCTTCATGGCTCATCATAGGCGTGGTCGGGGTGGTGTCCGAATGGAGGGCCGTAACTCTACAGACGACATGGATGAAATTAAAAGAATGATTCAACAACTCACTGATCGTGTCGCTCGCATCGAGACTCAAAGCCATGGTGGTGAGAGTTCCGACGGGGAGGGAGACGAAAATCCCTTTTACAACAACATGCCGATGGAAGGTGTGCAAAGGGGACGGGATCATTATGGTCGAAATTTCGACATGAAAGTAGATTTACCTGAGTTCGAGGGAAAGATGCAACCTGATGACTTTGTTGATTGGCTCAATACTGTTGAGCGTATATTTGACTACAAAGAGGTGCCGGACGAGAAGAAAGTTAAGATCGTAGCCATTAAATTGAAGAGGAATGCCTCTGCATGGTGGGAGCAGCTAAAGACTCGGCGTGATCGTACCGGAAAATCCAAAATTAAAAGCTGGGAGAAAATGAAGAAAGAGCTAAGGAGAAAATTTTTGCCAGAAAACTACCTTCAAGCAAACTTCCTGAAACTTCATAATGTGCGACAGGGAAATCGGACTATTGAGGAATATACTGAAGAATTCGATCTCTTAACCATGAGGTGTGGACTCGTCGAAGAAGAAGAACACACAGTTGCACGTTATCTTGGAGGGATGCGTAGAGAACTTCATGATGTGGTGGTCTTACAGCAATACTGGAGTTATGATGATGTCTTCAAGTTAGCCATACAAGTAGAGAAACAGATGAAGACACGGTCACGGCGTGTTGGAATAGAGGGTTCTGAGCACAAAAATTCTTGGATGACTAAAGGCTCATCAAATTCTGAGCCAGGGAAGCATGAAGCACCTAAGACCAATGCACCAGAGAAGTTTACTGCCAGCAAACCAAAAGGGATCAAGTGTTTCAAATGTTCTGGCATAGGACATATTGCTTCTGAATGTCCTAACCGAAAAATTGTAAGTTTGGTTGAGGAATTGGGCGAATCTAGTGGTATGTCAAAAGATATGCTACCTATATTTGATAATTATGGGGACAATGAAGAAGAAGAGATCACATGGAGTGACCATGGAGAGTCCTTGGTGATTCGAAGGATAATGAATGCTGCCAAGGTGGAGGAGACCTCAGATTGGCTTCGGAATAATATATTCCATACCAAGTGTACCTCTCATGGAAAGGTATGTAGTGTTATTATTGATAGTGGTAGTTGTGAAAACATTGTTTCACAGGAGATGGTTGATAAACTGAATTTGAAGACTGAAAAGAAGCCAGTCTCGTACAAGCTGTCTTGGGTCAAAAAAGGGAATGAAGTCGTGGTGAATCAACGCTGCCTAGTGACATTCTCCATTGGGCAAAAGTATCAGGATTCTCAATGGTGTGATGTAATTCCAATGGATGCGTGCCACATACTATTGGGGAGACCTTGGCAATTTGATCGCCAGGCCACACATGACGGATACAAAAATACATATACCTTCATCAAAGATGGTACGAAGGTTATTTTAGGCCCCTCCCAATCCGAATTTAATGTCAAATCCACGAAAATTGGTGCTGGAAGCTTTCTAACCAAAGGAGAATTCCTAAAAGAAGCGGAGGAGAGTGGCGATATGTACATGTTGATGGTGAAAGAGTCAAATCCAGATGTTCTTAATTTTCCTAAAGAATTAACACCTCTCTTGCAGGAATTCAATGATGTTATTCCTGAAGAATTACCCGCGGGGCTACCTCCTATGCGAGATATCCAGCATTGCATAGATTTGATTCCAGGTTCAACTCTCCCAAATAAAGCTCATTATCGGATGAGCCCATTAGAGTACGAGGAGCTAAATAGGCAAGTGACAGAATTGTTGAAGAAAGGGGTTATCCGAGAGAGCATGAGCCCGTGTGCAGTACCTGCATTGCTTGCACCCAAAAAAGATGGGACTTGGCGTATGTGCGTCGACAGTCGGGCAATAAATAAGATCACCGTGAAGTACAGATTTCCAATTCCTCGTCTCGATGATATGTTGGATCACTTGTCGGGAGCAAAAATATTTTCGAAAATAGACTTAAGGAGTGGATACCACCAAATACGAATGAGGCCCGGTGACGAATGGAAGACAGCCTTTAAAACTCGGGATGGCTTATTTGAATGGTTGGTGATGCCATTCGGATTGACAAATGCTCCCAGCACATTTATGAGACTCATGAACCAGGTATTTCGTCCTTTTATTGGAAAGTTTGTAGTTGTTTACTTTGACGATATTCTGGTTTATAGTCATAATGTTGTTCAACACATGGAGCACTTGAGACAAATCTTTGAAGTTTTACGGGAGCAGCAACTCTTTGCCAATTTGAAGAAGTGTGAATTTTTGACAGATAGCTTAATTTTTCTTGGGTATGTGATATCATCAGAAGGTATTAAAATGGATACAAAAAAAATTGAAGCAATACAAGAGTGGCCTATACCACAATCTGTCCATGAGGTGCGAAGTTTCCATGGCTTAGCTTCATTCTACAGAAGATTTATCAGAAATTTCAGCTCCATTATGGCGCCCTTGACTGATTGTATGAAGCATAATATTTTCAAATGGACTGAAACTGCAGAGAAGAGCTTTCAAGCCATAAAGAAAGCTATGACTGAAGCACCATTATTAATTCTACCAGATTACCAAAAGGTTTTTGAGGTAGATTGTGATGCATCCAAAGTTGGGATTGGAGCTGTTCTTAGCCAGGAGGGGAGACCAGTTGCCTTCTTTAGTGAAAAACTCAATGACACTAGACAACGCTACTCTACTTATGATATTGAGTTTTATGCCATTATGCAATCTCTTAGACAATGGAGGCAATATCTGATTTACAAGGAATTTATCCTTTACTCTGATCATGAAGCATTGAGATTTATCAATGGGCAACACAAACTGAATCGGAGACATGCCAGATGGGTGGAAGAATTGCAGGAGTACAATTTTGTGATTAAACACAAGGCTGGAATCCACAATAAAGTAGCAGATGCTTTAAGTCGCAAGGTGGCCTTATTATCTGTCATGCAAGTTAGAGTGGAGGGCTTTGAGCAATTGCAGGAGTTATATAAAGGAGACAAAGAATTTGGTGAAATCTGGTCCGAATGTGTGCAAAATAATTCAGTACAAGATTACCATATTCAAGATGGATATTTATTCAAGGGGAGCAAATTATGCATTCCTGATTGTTCTTTACGGTTATGGATAATTGAGGAGCAACATGGGGGAGGCCTTGGAGGACACTTTGGGCGAGACAAAACAATTGATCTTGTTGAGAACAAATTTCATTGGCCCAAGTTGCGAAGAGATGTGGAGAGATACGTACAAAGATGTAGGACTTGCCACGTGGCCAAGAGTCGTAGTCAGAACACGGGGCTTTATACTCCTTTGCCAGAGCCACGAGCACCGTGGGAAGACATTAGCATGGATTTCGTTGTTGGCCTTCCGAAGACAAAACAAGGATTTGATTCAGTCATGGTAGTTGTTGATCGCTTTTCGAAGATGGCCCATTTCGTTCCTTGTAAAACAACCATGGATGCTAGCAATATTGCCCATATTTATTTTCAGGAGATTGTCAAATTGCATGGGATTCCCACTACAATTACATCAGATAGAGACACCAAGTTTGTGGGACATTTTTGGAGGACTTTGTGGCGTAAGATGGGGACTCGGCTCCAATTTAGCAGTGCACACCATCCCCAAACGGATGGTCAGACAGAGGTTGTCAATAGGACCCTTGGTAACTTATTGAGGTCTTTGGTTAGTAGCAATAAAACGGGCTGGAGTGATGTTCTACCGCAGGCAGAATTTGCATATAACCAGTCAAAAAATAGAACCATTGGAATGAGCCCATTTGAAGCTGTCTATGGTCGCAACCCTTCTAGTCCAATTGACTTAATTCCTTTGCCGGTAGAGAATCGTTTTAGTGGGGATGCCAATGACATGGTTGATCATATCAAGAAGGTCCATGAACGTGTTAGCCTTCGACTTAAAGAGAGCAACACCAAGTATAAAGAAAGTGCTGATAAACATAGGCGTTACAAGGAGTTCCAAGAAGGGGATTTAGTGTGGATCAACTTAAGAAAGGAGAGATTCCCTCGTGGAAAATATGGTAAATTGCATGATAGAGGTGGTGGACCATACAAAATATTGAAAAGGGCTGGTCAAAATGCTTATGTGCTTGAGTTGCCGAATGACATTGGTGTCTCGCCTGCATTCAACGTCGCTGACTTACAAGCTTACTATGGTGAGAATGAAACTCCAGATTTTGACTCGAGGTCGAGTCCTTTCCAACCCGAGGAGTCTGATGCAGGAGCATCCCAAGCCAAACTAGGGAAGCCCAAGAGATCAGTTAAACCTCCTAATTACCTTAAAGATTATATCCCAAAATAAATTAAGAGACCTTTCCTACTGCTGATTGACTTCCTTTTATGTTTTCCTTCTGTTTTGGGTTTCTTTATTGTACTAGAATTATAATTCCTTATATTCCTAGGATTTAGTTGTTATTTAAACCTTTCTCTTGTAGACCATTTGGGCAGATTGGATTAGTGAATTTATTGAGAAAACGCAGCTAAGTTTAGCCGCAAATTGTGAGTGCTCGTTCTATATTTCTAGTGTTGGTGTAGTTTCGTTGGAGGTTCGTGTTTGAGATACCATCTCCCCATCAATGTCGTCCTCCTCGTTCAAATCCAAAAACAAAAAGAAATCTTGGGGATTGCAACACACGTTCACACATAACAAGGCTGAAAAAGATGAAGAAGAAGAAGAAGACGAAAAGAGCAGCGTATAACTCCTTTTAAGCAGAGATGATATAAAAATGAAATAAAAAGTTTTAGCCAATCATGTCGTCCTCCTCGTTCAAATCCAAAAACAAAAAGAAATCTTGGGGATTGTAACACACGTTCACACATAACAACTCCAGTGGCTAGCTAGCTAGCCATTGCCGGCGTGACACATAAATGTACAGACAGGTTAACATAAAAAAAATTATGTAAAAGCATTTTAACAAGTTAGCATAAAGATGTTTCAAACCCATCACACAAAAGCACGAAACAATTCTCACTTCTTTTTTCTCTCTCTGTGTTTAATCTTGAGCTTAAAGAGAGAGAAGACTTCGTGGTTGCACCAATTTCTCAAAAAACCCAAACTTTCTCAACGCACTCTGCCACGATCCATACGTTATTAACCTCCCACTTATTTCTATTCACTCCCATCTCATTTTGTAAAATCCAACGTGATGTCATGCTCATCTATCACACGATATGGGGCTCGTGAAATTATGAATCATGTACAATCCATTATATACTAGAAAGTTGAGAAGGAAAGAAAAGCAGATACTTGATATCCACCTATATAAGCATTGGAAACAATGCTAATATTCTCAGCTTTTTACCCCAACCAATGTACTTCTTTGCTCAGGGAAAAAAAAGTCAATAGTGCCAGATTGGGGTCTACATTTTCAATGCAACAATGTAGTGTAAATTAATGTCACGCAGGTAGGAAAAGAAATCGGAGTATTAAAGATGGGGAATGCTAGATATATTCCCTTATTGCTTTCTTTATTGAGTTTATGTCAAGTGTATTCTACTCACACATAAATCTATGTATTAAGAAACTCTTTGTTCTCTTCGCAAACCAAAAATTAATATTGTAAATTAAATATATAAATTTATGTGTGAGTGGAATACACGTTGCTGAATGATATTAAACCTTCATTATAGATTTTCTCATTGAAAAACCAAATATATTGTAGAATTCAATGTTATAATGTTAAATCGGCTGGGATTCAGAAAGTTACTCATGATGACTCCTAAAATAACTATCATATTTTATTTTATTTCATTTTTTTCGAGAGCAATAATGCAATTAACAATAATCAAATTGTCATTATATTTTTTGTTTTCTTCAAGACAGCCATCAATTCAAGCTTATAATATTTTTACTTGTAAACAAGTAATCCGCATGTTCTCTTTAAAGAGAAGAATTTCATGAAACGAGAATAATTCTATTTTGTTATTTCGGCTAATAACGGTATAACACGCGTGATAACACTTCCACATAACACGACAGTATTGGGTGGGATAGCAAAACATTCGTTGTAACTTGTGCAGAAGCCGCGTGTTTCAGTGTTTCTCCTATTTGAATGGTGGAGGAAGCCGCGCGTTTCAGTGTTCCTTTCCTTTGTGCAGAAGCCGGAAGGGCGCTAAACGGTGGACGATTATGATTGAACCTTCATTTACGTGACAGCGCAGCAGAATAGAGTAGGCATGACTATCACTGTTTCAGTCTTTCAAAGCAGACAAAATAGCCTACTGTCTTTCTCAGTTTGATCCCATCAATGGAAATGGGACCCGTCAAACCAACCACTTTTCAAAACCCAATTTGTTCTTTTCTGTTTAATAATGAGATTTGATTCAGACAAAAAAAAAAGAGAGAAAAATCTTGAGCTTTGGTGATGGAGAGTCCACCGGAGACCATGGTTGAAGAGAGAGAAGAGCACATGGTTTCACCTACGGGAGGAAACCCATTTCGTAAAAAAGCCTACTTTCTAAAACCCACCTTGCCATCTTGCACTGATGAACCTCCCTTTGAGCTCCCTCGTTGCTTTTCCTCCTCCCTCCCAACCCATTTTAAACCGAAGTCATGGCATTTGAATGTTGAGTTCTATGGATGGCGATCTAGCCAAGAAAATTGGAAAACTTGGGTTGATCAAATGGCACCTGTGCATCATGAAAAATGGAAGGAGGCTGGTATATACGAAGCCATCATTAGTTCAACATACGAAATAAGAAAAGTAGCCAACTTGGGTGATGGGTTTGCTGAGAAATGGTGTTCGGAGACCAATACTTTCATTTTTCCATGGGGTGAAGCAACCATCACATTGGAGGATGTTATGGTTTTGGGAGGTTTCTCGGCTTTGGGGGCCTCTGTTTTAAGCCCTCTGCAGAGCAAACAAATGAAAGAAGTCGGAGAGAAACTCATTGAAGGGCAAAAAGAAATTTACAGCAGTGGGAAGAAAGCGGTTTCCAAAAGATTGTGGCTGAAGAAGTTCATGAACAGTGGGAATGAATTCGAGCACGAAGCATTTCTTGCCTTTTGGTTGTCCAGGTATGTTCTTGTTGGTTCTCGTAATTCAATACAGAATTCTGTTTTCTCTGTTGCAATTCATTTAGCTAGGGGGACCCGAATCGCGCTTGCACCGGCTGTTGTTGCTAGCATTTATAAAGATTTGAGCTTGTTGAAAAAGGCA